GTCTTTTGAAGAACTCATGAAGAACCTGCAATTATTTCAATCGGTTTATCTATTTATTATTTACTTAAATCCGTTGAATCGATTGTTTTACTTAAGTCTATTGAATCGGTTGCAAATTTTATAGGCATCTTGAAACGTTGGAAAACATCAAGACGAATATCCAACCAATCGGATCTGAGGTATAGGGGAATGTGGGATATTGCTTGTGAATGTGAAACGACTTGACTTCAGTCTCTCTAGAGACGTTAAAGCGAGAGGGGTATAATTAGTTGGTGCTGGCCACAGAAAATTACGAGGAGATCATAATGGCGTCCAAGAAGGCACTCTTGGTCCTTCTGGTTGTGACCTTGTCTCTTTTCATTGGTAAGAAATCCAAAATTAAATTATTGTTAGTTCTCAAATAGAAAATAAAAAAAATTTCTCTCATTAACAGTTTTTAGGATAATTTATTGTGGACTCGATTGAGAGAGAGACTTCTTAGTGCCGAATTAAATTGGTTTAGGTTATTAATTAATAATAGATTATTCATTGGTAATAATGATATTGATTAATTGATACTTAATCTATTAGTTACTAGTTTATTCCTTAATTCATAGGAAAAAAACGTTACTGGAATCTTCAGTTCATTTTCGGTCTGCAGGAATTTATAAAATACATTTTTTTTCGGAGTGCTTTCATTATTTTTCAACATGCCTGTAAAGAAAACGTCATGTTTTGCTGTCTGAAAAGCGAATTAATCAATGAATTTTGGAAATATAAAAAAATGCACGACTGGCAGAAGAATATGAAAACACATTTTCAGCAGAAGAAATTTTTTCATCAAAAAACGTTTCAAAATGATTAATTATTGGAATAAGAAACTAAATAAATAAAATAATTGCTATCCACTCAGTTAATGAGTGATAAAATATCTTAATGAAAAAAATCGTTCATTACTTTGATAAAGTATTTCATAAAAATTTTGTGTAGGTGTGCAAATTAATTGACGAGATTAATTTGAAAATTTATTTATCATCTTTGCTGAATAACGGTAGGAGTTATTTGAATCGAACCAAATCCTGAATAATCTGATTAAGAATTCCAAAGACGTCTTGGGAATTCACATGAGGCCGATCGGTAGATCCTTGATACGACTACGTAAACATTAAAAATAAAACTGAGGCCACGAGATATGTTACACCAAAACACCGTAAAAAGTTCTAGCGTACTGTAACGAAATCCTCGATATTTACCGAAATAAGTTACATAAATAGGTCAATGAGATACAAGTACTCCTCAATTCGTAAACAATGATGCCAAGGATCAAACTTCTAAGGTCACTACGATAACGCGATAACCCAGAAGATTGAGGAAAAACTAAAGTATAATTTCTAAGAAACAAATAATCGCTCATAAACGCAAATAAATCAATTTGTTCTGCAGAGGAAAAAACACAATTAACATCAACAGCTTCGACTGTTAATTGATTAACTACTTCAGTAATTAATATTTTCTGTATAGTATTTTGCGGTAAAGGAGAAAAACAGAAATACAAGCACAAATTTACATGAAGTCTTTTGAGGTGATTTTTTATTTTTGGAACCACAATTGCAAGCTTTTTTTGTCCGAGAAAGTAACAAACTCCCAGGATAAATGTCTTGTATTTCTCATAGTAAAATTTCCTGTTTTTAGATTGCTTCTCAGAGTTATTGATTTTAGAGAATTACAGTTAAATGACAGCTCCTATTAATTTTACCAGTTTTACACTTTTTTGTGCATAAAAATTCTATTTTCGCAGAGGATGTCTTCTTCTCCAATAACGTTCTTGTTTAA